TACTAGTGTAAGATATTAGTAATAGGAAAACTAGGTATGTAATATATGGTAGCTATTATCTTTTATAAATCTAAAACTGCTTTTATTGAAGTAGAAATTCAGGGAAAATTATCCAAAAATGCATTACAACAAAATTATAAAGTGAAATTTGAAAACAATGGTATGAGGAGAGAAAATGGCGGCGTGCTAGGGGATCGAGCGAAGAATCTCTCCAGAGAATTCAAACTCAAAGCTAAAAAAAAAAAAAAAAAAAAAGACAGCATGGAGAGGACCAGACAAATCCATAGCGATCCTTATCAACCAAGACAGTACAGCTGGAGGATTTAAAGTCGTGCTGAGACCGGAGGCTGCAAATCCCGCGCCCTTAAATCAACGAACAGACTCGTGGACCCAACACGAAAAGCTGAGTTGCTTTTGGGGACTGCGGAAACTGAGACCCAGATTGAGACTCCAGGCGGCAGCCAGTTCTGCACCGCTGCACCAGCGCAGATGTACAGAGCTCTGGCGTTTCGAATCTAAACGGTGCACAGAAATCTGACCAGTCAGCGCTGAGCCGCGAGGTGGGGAAAAATGGACGGCTTGGTGTGTGGCGGTCCCGGAGCGGGGACTTGCACCGGACTCTGGTGAGTATAGAAAACCCCGCGGCGGCTGGGTTTGGCCAGAGAACAGCTGGCCCGCCACCACGGGGAAATCAATAACACAGAATCTGGTGCAGACATATTAGCCTGGCGGCAGAAATCGCAGCTTGGTGACATCACCAGGACCCCCTGTAGGGAGGGCTGGTGGAAGACATCTTGAGTCCTGGCAGAGTCTGATTGCTTGCTGGCTTCAGCTCCGCACGGAGAACTTAGTGGGAGCCATCTTGGTTTTGGGCAGATCTGCTTTTCTAGAGCTCCTATCACAGAGAGGTTTGGAAGAGAACGGCTGGGACCTGGGCAGAATCCTGTGCCATTACCCAGCTGCTTCTGATTCAGGGAGAACTGGCAGGAGCTGTTGGGGCTAGATCAGGCCTCTGCTTGGGGCCCAATGGGTGGATGCAGAATGGTCACAACTCAGTGACAACTAGAAAGTACAGCCTAATTTATGAACTAACTGACACAGAGGCTAGAGACTAGACTGTACCGCCCCTGCATCCCAGCCTACCCCAGATAACAGCAAATTGGGGAGGACAGCAAAAACTCAAGCCGGCACGCTTCTGAAAGGCCCTAAGCAATTTGGAGAGGGCCAGAGAACTCCAGGACAGTCTGAAAGAAACCAGAAACATGACAAGAGATAAAAATTAAAAAAAATCTCCAGCTGTTCAACAGGAGAAATTAAACCCAAGAGAACTAAACACTGAAGAGAACAAGCACAGTAACCATCCATTGCTCGACTCAGCATCAGCCGAAATTAAAAAATATTTACATGATCTCATAGAGGAATTTAAAGATGTACTCCTGATCCAAGTGAGGCAAGATATAAAGAGATTAATTAAAGAAATGACAAGCCCTGCCCAAGAGAACACAGATGGAAGAACTGAGGAAATCAGAAAAGAAAGAGAAGCATCTGAAGAATTTAAGCATAACTTAGAATACATGAAACAGATCCAAAGAGAAAATCAGGAAACTAAAAACTCCATTGAATATTGGCAAAATGCCTTGACAGAAACTAAAGACAACCTTCTGAAACTTGAAGAGAGATTTAGGGCTTATGAACGTGAAAGAAAAAGCCTCTTAAAAATAATAAGGAACCAGAAAGAAGCAATTCTAAAACTGGAAGATGATAAAAAGTTGCATAACCTAAGAATAAAGAATGTGAGTGAGGAAGCAGGAACATCCAAAAATGAAATACAAAAAATATTCACAGAGATATTAAAGCAAAATTTCCCATGTATAGCAAAAAGAAATGATATCCAGATAAAAGAAGCATACAGAACGCCAGCTACCTACAACCAAAACAGATCTACGCCTAGGCATATAATAATCGAGATCCCAGAAATCCACCAAAAAAACAGAATATTAAAAGCAGCCAGAGAAAAGATGCAGGTTACCTATAACGGGAAATCTATCAAAATAACGGCAGACTTATCAACACAAACTCTTAAGTCAAGAAGGGAGTGGGGAGAAATATTCCAAGTCCTGAAGGAAAAAAATATGCAACCTAAGTTCATATATCCATCAAAACTCTCTCTAAAAATTAATGAAGAAATAAGATACTTTCAAGACAAGGAGGAACTGTGGGAGTTCGTGGCCACCAATCCAACCCTACAGAGAGCGCTGAAGGACATTACAGAGAAAGAGAGGAAGAAATATCAGGATTACAGCTACAGTGGCAGAGAGGCCTCAGTGTACGGGGCAGACCATGGAATGAGGGAATAAGGTGGACAAATTATAGCAGAAAAGTGGAGTAGCAGACAGGAGGCAGAGACGGTAAGCTAGTCTTTGGTAGAGACAGCTCTGAAACTATATTTAAAAAAAAAAAAAAGCAGAGGTCATTGCTAATGGTGTATAACGATTTAAAAGACACAGTAGTCCTAGTGCCATATTTAGATTGAATTAAATTTGTTCTGGTCTGTCCACTCATATCAGATTTGAGGACACAGACCTCGAACCAAAAATAGCAGGTTATACCATGGTAACCATCCTTACTTTCCTATTGACTTAAGCTGAAATCCTGTATTACTTACATTGTCTTACTATGACTGATCTTAATTGTATCTGAATCATAAGACTATTGGTTGGCCTTGACTGATCCTATTTGAAATCCGTATGCCTGTTAGAATCAACCCTAAAAGTAGAGGAAACTACTCTGAGCATGACAGGATGTAAAGGATATCCATACTGGTATGAATCAGTAACAGCTCTCAAATACTACAATGCAGTCAAAGATAAGTTTTTATAAAAATAGGTGATAGTATATTTAACTATAATAAGCCAGTGTTGTCGACAAATCTATTGAAAATAACAAGAGAAAACATAGTAGCTACGGAAGATCATTTATATTATAGTTTTGTAAGTCTTATCCATTGCATGTTTATCTAGGAAATTGTTTCGCTGTCTTGTTATGACTTGGTTTTCCCTATAATACAGAGAGGATAGGAACAAATACTCTGAGGAAGAGACCTGAAAAACCCGAGGCTTATTTTGTAGCATTATAATATAAATTCTAGCAATCTATTGCTTGCTGATTAAAATGACTCTGGACTGGTTTCTTCAGCTCAACTTCAGCATATGCAGAGATGGGGACGGCTATCACAAAGAGAATGAGAGATGCGATGGTAGTTGGAAATGTCTTCCCTAATTTGGAACTTGAGGACCTAAAAAGACTCCATCATCCTGTAATGATTTGATTAGTTCTATAATATGTAATAAGTATAGAAAGTGGGTGAAGTTAGGGACAACTATCTGTAAGAAGCTAGAGACAGTTAGATAAGGTAGATCTCCAGTGGACTTGCTTTGAAATCTGTATTTCTTTAAATTGTTTTTTATTTTTTTTTAAATGTTCTGTTCTGTTTTGATATGGTTAACCTTATCCTCTTAGAGATGTAAAACAAATAGGTGGGACTGATAATCATATTACGGAGCTTTTGTTCGGCCATAGAGCAGAATGGTTTGTAGGGTCACTTTTTTGAATGTCATTCTAAATACTTTAATTCTATAACCTAAACAGCCATTTCGAAGAAGACAATTTGTAACTTATCAACTGGCAATTTCTTACCTTTTGTTTGTCTGTAATTTAGTATTATTTTTCTACCCTTTTTTTCTTTAATCTCCATGTATTTTTTTTTTCGTTTCCTTTTCTTTAAATAAAAAAAAAAAAAAAAAGAAAACAATGGTATGAGTGATAAAGGCATTTTAAAGAACCTATTAATGCATATTTAAGTTAAAGTCAATAGAGTGAACAAAATATCCCCTCCTTGTTCCCCACAATCTACTTATGGCTCACATTGAGCAAATTTTTATGAAATCAGATCTAAATTGACGAGGACCAGGAAGGCAGGAGCGAGGCAGCAGCAGCCCCTGCAGGAGCTGGGAAACTTGGACACTGGTGCCTGTGTCAAGGCTCAGGAAAGCCAGGCAGCTAGCTGCTTGCAGCACTGCAGGCCTCTAAAGGGCTGGGAAAAGGCCCACAGGGACTGACTGAGGCACCCAGGCCATGTAGAGGCTAAAAGCAGAAGGCTGGAAGTCAGCAAGACTGCTGCTGCCCCAGCTGCTACCTTCATTCTAGGAGTGGCAAACATCACTGTGGGCTTGCTGGCCCAGAGTCCCTGCTGTGCAGTCAGGTGCAGAGATGCTGCCTTGAGGTCAAGGGGAGGAGGGCAGAGCTACATATGCTGAGCAGGAGGGGTCTTTTCCCTGAAATTGAAGTTTAGCAAAAAAAAAAAACTGAAGTAGGCCTCTAGGTTCTTCAAGAATGCAGTGGATCTCACCAGAGTTGGGTCACTGTGCATGGATGAAGCTTCCATTCAGTCCCAAGCAGGCGGAGCCATTGAGGTCTTTGGGGAAAAGGAGTTCAGAGTGGAAATAGGACACATAGGCAGAGGTGGCGTGAGCAATGTGTGGACATGGCTGGCACTCAGGTCTGCTTGTGGCAGCCCATACAAGGGTGTACTCACAAGCGCCTCAGTGTGCGCAGGGCTGTGAGATGAGTTGGCTGTGGAGGAAACCGTACCTGGGGAACGGCATACCTGGGGTTGGTTAGGTGAAATGCTTCAGAACGGAGGCCTGAGCCCTTCTATGCTGCCAACCATAGAAGCTGGCACTGATTCCATGGCGGCAGCCTGCTCAGGTCTCCCTCATCCTCACCATCACTTCAGTCCCGGCTTATTGCCCCTTGTATTTGAAGAATAGAAACTGTTTGACCTCTGTTTATCCTCTTGCTTTTCCAGCCTTTCACATTTTTAAATTTTAACAACTCTGCAAAGATATATATTGAGCATGGATAATTTGCATTAGAGACAAAAGCTGTGGTAAGGAAATCAAGATTGTGTTTCCAGGGATAACACACGTCTCCCTCCTCAGACAACAGCGACTGCCTGGCGGACGACTGTAGTATCATCGCTGGGGGAAACCTCACCGGCTGGCACCCAGATTCTGCTGCTGTGCTATGGAGAAGAACCTTGGGGATCCTCGGAGATGTGAATAACATCCAGTCACCCAAGATCCATGCCAAAGTATTTGGCTATCTCTACGAGCTCTGGTATAAACTAGCCAAGGTATTTTCTTTCATCTATTCATTGTTTCATGAAAGAACTGGGTTATAGTTATGGAGCATGGTTCGGGCATTTAGACAAAGTACACTTGATTATCAAAGAGCAAATCATACTTATAGTTTGAATATTTTATAAATGCAGAATTTTTTACTTTGTACAAAAGTAGCATATTAGTATAGAATAATACAATAGGGTGTTAAAAAGTTTGTTACTCTTTTTATTAAGGTGATACTGGTAATCTGTGTATTGCATACATACTGAAAAAATTTTAAAAGTGATGCCTATTTTGTTTGTACAAAGTTTGCATAAAACATTTTTTATGCAACAACACCATTCCAATAAAATAACTAATTCTAATATTTAATCCTATTTTTGTAGCTAAAGGTTTGTTTTTTTAAAGATAGAATCACAGAATACATAAAGTTTCGTTTTGGTTTTGGTTTTTATACTAAACTTACATTTTGATTATGCTTTAAAAATCTTTTCAAAAACATGATTCATGTTTGCACAGTATGACTTACTAAATCATTCCTTATTTAGAGTTAAGGACTGTGCTAGGCATTGACATGCAAGGAACAATACCCTAGGTTTATATTTAAATCCAAATCTGTATAGGAAGCCAGACACACAGTTTAGAAGGACAGGAGAACTCACAGTAGAAGAAAAGCTTGTGTAAATGTTACAGATTTTTACTCAAGTTGTAGAAACTTAATTGACTGTGGAAGACAATACTCAGACACCCTCGAGATAAGCAGAGTGTCCCCTCCCTGAAGTTCTGCTCTCCGGGCCTTAGATCCGGGACAATCTGGCCGTCAGCCTGGATAACCAGTCCTCGCCGTCTCCTCCTGCCTTGGTCCCGCCACTCAGAATGTTTGCATCTTGGTTATTTAAGGCAAGTGGATATGTGTTTATTCCTTTATTGCAATTTCCTCTTCCTTTGTGAAATTGAGTTTTAGAAAGGTAATTGCGCAAGACTGCATGTTTTGAAAACAGGCTGGGTCTCACTATAGCCATTGTATCCTACATCTCCATAAACAACTCTTCTGGAAAACTGAGAAATGAAATGCTGAAATGCTCTGCATCTGGAGTTCATTTAATCTGGAAACATCATCTCCTCGGCAGGCGACAACACTGCCAAATGAGTATAAGGAGGGCAAGCTGCAAGCCTACAGGCTGATCTGCGCCATGATGACCAGACGCCAGGATGTCCTGCCAAACTCCGACTTTCTGGTGCACTTCTACCTCACAATGCACCTGGGATTAACCAGCGAGGACCAGGTACTGCATCACTCCTCATTGTGATGCCTGCTAGTGGGAAATTATGTAGCCTGCTCTGCAGGTGTCATGACTTAGGAAAATACTCAGAAATGTCTAACATCTAAGTAGTTTCAGCTCTTTTATACACAGCAACCACAGTGCCCTTTCTAAACTGTAACTCAGGTCTTACGTGTCACTGTTTCTTCCCCACACTGACTGCATTGTGTCAACCAAATTTGAAATTATTATTCTGCCTCAGTGATATTGTCAACTTCAAGACATCATCTCAACCACTGTTTGTTATCATTTGAGGAATGTGATTCTGGTCATTTAAAAATGGAAATTGTTTTGAAAGTTGTGAATTTACAAGTAAGACGGTGCTCTTGACATTTCTTGTTAAGAAATTAATTTCTTCCAAGGAAACTGAAGTTAAGTTTTAGTTAAATAGGAGGAGAAAGATCTGACACCCTTTAACCACGGGCCCCTCTGTAGTCTCTGGCCATCCAACCTTTCAGTTTGCCTGGGCTTGAGTGGAGAGGAACTGTCTCAGGCCACATACAAAACATGCAGCATAGTTGATGCATGTTAGTAATAAAGCATCCTTTATATTTTAAAAATTATTTTATGAAATAACCCAAGCACAGTTTTAAAAATTAAATAAGAAAGCTTGCATGTCTGCTTCATAACAATAAATTCCTGTCTTCACAGGCATGCACACATAGGTAAGTTGAACTACCATTATTGGTGATCACTATGTTTTACTTGCCAAATCCCACAAGTGCATGTAACCTCTGCTAGGTGGAGGTTTGGATTCCAGTGACTGTGCATGGGGACAGGAGTCAGAGCTCCTCCTCTAGCCTGCAGTTAGTGCCCACCTGATCCATGCTGGAACCAGGTAGTTGAATCATGGAAAGTGTCACTAAGAATCAGGCAATAACTTTTAACAGTCTATGACTTTGTGGTGCCACATTACTAGCTGTTGCAGCCTGCCTGTGGCTTGTCTATGCCTGGTTTGGGGACAGGATGTGGCAGCCCCTGGTCCTTTCCCCTTTGGTTGTCCTCCTGTCAAGTGTGAGGGAAAGAACATGGACAGGGAGTTTTGACTCTGCATGGGACATCAAACGGGCACTGATGTAACTGGTTCCACAGAGATGGTTCTGGATTCAGAGGCTGGATTTGAAAACCTGGCCATGGTAGATGCAGCAGGGATTTGGGCTAGGAGACAGATTAATTAGGAAGTGTTTAATAAAGATTTTTACAGTGGTAAGAACTAAGATGGTAGCATTGGAGATGGGAAGAAAGAAAGAACAGATACAAGAAATTTTAGACCATTTCATTTCATCACTAGCCCTTCTTGATCAACTGGAGATGATGGGGTAATTTCAAGATTTACTCATAAAATTGCTTCTACTTACCAATGAACTTGAATCAGTTATTAACTGATTATTAGCTGTCTTTCTATATTTCTTCTTCTGGATGTAGAATGCAGACACATAGACATTTTATTGCCCCTAGGGTACATGTAAGAGCTCATTTTGCTAATTAGCTTTTTAGTTTCTTCTGAATGTACTTGAATCTTCCTAACCCCTTGGGCTCTATGTAAAGGTTTTTCTGTATATTCCCTGATACATCCTTTAAACTTTAACTCCTGAGCTTTTATCTGAGTCCTAATTTTGTGTCTCAGTGAGTTGGCGCCACTGTGGTCACCCTAAATTTTGCAGTACATAGCAGTCATATGTCCTTGGACTGTAACCCCATAGCCTCATTGACTTCCTCATGTGCGGCAGAATTGTTCCTACACCCTGCTTAACTATGCTACAGCCGTCCCTACAGGTAGAGGTGTCTCTTCCAGAATGATGCAACTCAGATGTGCAGAAGATTCAGGAGCTTAAACACAAACACAAATGAGAGTTAACCTCACAGATAGTGATTCATTTACCTGGGGGAAAGGTTTACTTAATGCTCCACTTTAAAGCAATATTTTGCTAGGTTTTGCAGGGGAAAAATTGAAAATAATAATCAAGTGTAGGTACTTCTCATTAATGAAAGCAAATTTTAATAGTATTTCTTAGGATGAGTTTTTTAGAAAGTCATAAATCTGCATGACAGACTTTTTCTATTTTGAGGTAATTCGGCATGAAAATGAAACAGTAAAATGAGTTTCAATAAGCATATTACAGTATTTTAGAATTCAAACTTGTGATTTATGCGTTATTTGCAAAAAGCTTTATGATTAGAAAAAGGAATTTTCAAATTTTATGCTTAAAATCTTTTTCACATTTAATGAGTATCATGCTTTCAGTTAAGTGAAAACTTAATGATCTTTTGTAGTCTGTTGTAAAATACATAAATCATGAAAGACAACCCAATGTTCACAATAACGCAGGCTTCCAGACTTTGAGACAAAATGGGGATATCATAAATCTCTGTTTTATAATCAACCAATTGTTTTAGGCCCCTAGAAGCCTACATTTTATGTGAGCTTAATAGAATTGACTGCTTTACCATTAACAATTATTGATATATACTTTAGAAGCTCATTGTCTGCCAAGAATAATTACTGTAAATAAACTTTATTCTTCTGCCAGAAGAAAATTACACAGAAGATCTTCTAATGAAAGAAACTTTTCTCATTTAAGGAAGAAATGTCTCTACTTAATTAGTTTAACTTTAGTCTACATGTCTAAGTAAATCCTGGTGGTTGATTCAGAACTTATATTTATTTCTGAAAATACATGTTATATTCATTAAAAAAAGAAAGCATTTACTGTAGAGAATACTGTTAAATTCAGTTTTTTAATAAGCAAACTGTGTACCTGTGGCTGGTGCCTTTGCAGGGCTTGTTTCCATTCTGTGAGAGTTCTCAGAAGAGCCACACTTGCATATATCTTGGCATTAAACAGATTCGCTTTTGCAGAGAAAATCTTATCAGGAACTTCCTGTGTTTTTCAAATAAGAGAAATAACAGCAGATAATGTTTTACAAACTGACATTTACCAGTATTGTCTTCTGAATAAAATCCAAGGTGTGTTTCCCCCTGTCACCGCTGGGTGGCACACTTGATTGCCTGACTCAGCCCAGTGATTTAAAAGGGTGGCCAGGCCCAAAACACTTGGACTTTGTGGTGGGAGTAGGTGGTGGTCTTGCTGGATGCTGCCCTCCATCTGAGAGTGTTGAGACAGTGTCAGTAGTGACCCATAGCATGTTGCATAGTAAATAAGCTGTAAGATGTCAACAATCTCTTCAAACATAGTAATTGAAGATTTAAGAATAGGTGTCTCACAGTTGTCCTGTGACTTAGTCCCATAAAGTCATGGCTTCATCTCACAAAACAGCAAATTCACTGTGTAACAAATTTGGTCATTTCCACTCCCAAAGTAACATCTATACCAATACCCAAACTTCAAATCATAGAGCATTACAAAACAATTGCTTTTCGTGTGGTTTTTCACAAGTTTTAACTGTCGTAACAATTTAATCACTTAATAGGTAACATAGTGACCTTATCAAGTGTAGTATTTCCCACAGTATAAACGTAGTGTGTGTTTGTAGTTTATTAGTGTGAAGAAAAGCATACTTTGAGTGGTTTTATTTTTTTCCATTAATGGCTTTCTAAAAAATTGACCCTCTTACTGGTTTGATAGGGTGATAAACACTTTTAAAATATCCATGATCTGTGCAGCAGATTCTGGATGATTTACAGGACTGCTCTGCCTGTCTGCCCAAGAGGTCTTCCTGTTGGCCTCTGCTTAGCTGCTCTGCACCCAAGGGCAGGCCAGGTGAAGGGGACCCTCTTCCCAGTCTCTGCAGTGCCACACTGAACAGGGCTATATTCTGTTGTCCACTGATTCTTCTCCACAGCTCAGTTAGATAAGTATCATTGCCCATTTTCAAAAATGGGCAGACCTTTTCCCAGTGCCGCATCCCCACAAGGCTATCAGAACTCGCCCACAGACCTAGCTTGCGCCCTAGCTGAGTCTCTTCCTTTGGGTCTCAGCTCACTTGATGGCAGTCTTTGCATTTCGCGTCCGAGGCTTTGGCTCACCTGGACTCTGGCCTGGGTTCTGCAGCGGAGCCCTCCCCATCATGTGCCCCCTGCAGATGCCTTCCCTGGAAGCCTTCTCAGCTCTCAGTCTCTCTTCTAAAGCTGTTCTGGGTTGTTCTTAGTTTCTCCTAATGTATAAGCAGCATTTTCACCTCAGTCCTCCCTAAAATATTTTGACATGAAAGAAGCTATGATTTGGATTTATTAAAAACAGTTCCTATTAATTTCATGATTATTTAAAGCATATGGAAAGATCAATATGTGTGAAATGGAAGAGGACAGTTGTGGAAAGGAATTTTATTTTCATGTTTTTAAGAACATATATCAAAGACTGGAAAGTTTTCTTAAAATAAGCTATTTTTTTTAACAATGACTTACAGATTTAATGTCTTAATATAATGTGTCTGTTGCACATCAAAGTTAAATTCTCTTTTAAATGCAAAGTTTACATTAATACAAACTTATTTTTTTCCAATTTGCACATAGATATTTCAGGAAATACGTCTGTGTACACTCTGCAAGGTGAAGGGTAGCAGTGTGGGACTCCCACCAATTTGTCTCTCCATTAGTTTAACTCATTTATTTTTTCTTAATTCTTGGTTACAAGAATATGTAACTTGCTTTAGAAATGTTTTACTTTTGTTTAACTCCATGTTTTAATGAACCTTTTGCCCACCCCAGTGTTAAAGAAAACATAGTTTTAAGTACCATACATAGCACAAAACCTAGAAGTCAAAGTAGTTCATGACTTTCTTAACGAGTGTTACAACTCCTCTCGTGAGGCATATGATGGAATAATATAATAATAAACAGTCATTTGTAAAAAGATCCCATGGGGCCCCTCAGTGAGCTTAGGACTCGCTTTGAGCCAGGAGAGCAAGGTGAGGGGTGATCCTTGTAAATTGCCTGTCCCCGACTCTCTTAATAACCCCGACAACCCAGATCATGCAGTGATATGTAATCATTGCATCACCTC